TATAGCCTACTCATTATTGTTAGTGATTTTATTATTTCGTGCATATTATCCTTTTTAACAAATGTTATCTTCTTTCACATTTTAAAGCCTGTTTTCAGCTAATGAATCAAACTAGGACTTTTGTTCATTGAAGTAGACAGGCTTACAAGAGCTGTATGGAGCATCTGTTTCAATCTGATTACAATACAGATTTATATTTTGTTTCGTTTTTTTATACTTTCGATGGCCTCTACTACATGAAGATCTTACCAGTTGTCACGGGAGGTCACGTCAGAGGTCAAACAAGTGGCTTTTGACCCTATGACATCAGACATTTGATTAACCAACCAGCATTGATGTTTCTAGTGGGTTACCCACAGTTCCATGCACCTCACACCAGACAATATTCAACTCTCGGTGCCATTGCTAGTCTGTGATGTTTACTGGATTTTAAAAATTTTTGTGATGGATGATTTAACGTCAAAATGGATAACTGGAACTTTGTTTCGTACCAACTTTAGTAATGATGATCGAGGCTAGGCCTAAAATTCAATCGCTAATATCTCGGTTCAGAGTGGAGCAAATTTTCAGCATATTCTATTTACGTCAACTCTTTATCTAATCTTCCATAATGCCCCTTTAGAATTTAAAGAATTACATTTTTTTTATAGTATTTCCTTTTAAGTATCAATTGTAAAAAATCTTATCCACAAGAATTATTTTTTTTTTTATGATTTTAATTTGAAAAAAAAAATAATAATCTCTTTTTAACAGACATTAAAACTACATTATAGTGAAAAGATTTGGTCATAAAACCGTCATATAATGGTTGGCAAGTGATTATTTTACAAAAACAATTCTTTTCACGCAACACTCTGAGAGGCAATTATATCTTTTATTAGAATAACCAGCTTCAAGTGATTCTTTTTAATGTGTTGTAAATATTATCATTTATTTTTTTGCTGGTTTGTTGGAACAGGGATTCTGTGGTAGATGCGGAACAGAGAGAGAGAGAGAGAGAGAGAGAGAGAGAGAGATGGGTTTAACGTCCACTCGACCCAGACTAGGTCATTTCGCGACTAACATAAGTTTCAATTTTATTTCAATAATTTGCTTCTGCATAGGGGTCTTTAGCAGTGGGAGGAAAGAGTGTGTGAGAGAGAGAGAGAGAGAGAGAGAGAGAGAGAGAGAGAGAGAGAGAGAGAGAGAGATGGGGTTTAACATCCACTTGACACAGACTAGGTCATTTCGTGACTAACATATGGTTCAATTTTATTTCAATAATTTGCTTGTGCGTAGGGGTCTTTAGCGGTGGAAGGAAAGAGAAAGTGAAATGGGGTTTAACGTCCACTCGACACAAACTAGGTGATTTCGTGACTAACTAATGGTTCAATTTTATTTCAATAATTTGCTTGTGCGTAGGGGTCTTTAGCAGTGGGAGGAAATTTAAGGACCCGGACAAAACTCATGAGGTTAGGCAGTCAACCTTACTCAAGCTTCATCAAGCTCTTGTGTGAAACCATTTGGCCACATCAAACCCCTGTCTTGGAGATGGCTATTCTTAAAAGCTGGCTAATCTTGGCCATGTTACACTCCCCTGTCGAACAAACACTGGCATTTTAAAACTAGTTTGGGGCTGCGATTGCTCAGTGATGAAGACGCTGGCTCACTAGTCTGGAGGTTGCAGGTTCACTCATGGTGTTGGCCAATAAGTTAATCTGGATTTTCTGGCAGGGTTTCCCCTTGTCAGTGGTGAAGGACGGAAGGCCTGAGTACACATTGGCGTACATGTGAAAGAAAACTTATTATTATTAATATTAACAAGTGTTAATATAGAACAATATCCACAAGTGCTTAATGACACATTACAATAAACATTTGATAAAAAACAAGAGGACTAGTCATCGCTATACCCTTTAAGGCTTGGACAACCTTTGTTTATATCAATCAGCTGCTGTATGTTAAACAACAAGCTTATACATGATTATCTTGTGTGCCTTGCATCATAAGGTCTGTCATTGATTGAGTCAACTGCCGTGATTTCGATTCCCTGGTTGTATGTGACAATGAGTAAGATCGCCTGTCCAACCTGCTGAAGACCCTATGTGCAAGCGAATTATTGAAATAAAGTTGAACCATATGTTAGTCCCGAAATGACCTAGTTGTGTCGAGTGGATGTTACCCCCCCTCTCTGTCTCTCTCTCTCTCACTCTCTCACACACTCTCTCTCTCACTCTCACACACTCTCTCTCTCACTCACTCTCTCACTCACTCTCACACACTCTCTCTCTCTCTCTCTCACTCTCTCTCTCACTCTCACATTCTCTCTCTCCCATGTCCTCCACTGCTAAAGACACCTAGACGCAAGTGAATCATTGAAATAACATTGAACCATATGTTAGTCCTGAAATAACCTAGCTTATGTCGAGTGGACGTTAAACCCATCTCTCTCCCTCTCTCTCACTCACTCTCTTTCACTCTCTCTCTTTCACTCTCTCTCATTATCTGAAGCCCAGCATAAAACCATGAGGCCTACCTTCCATAAGTAGGTTGATGTTTGTACAAAGTTTCAAAAAGATTTCTTGATAGGATAATGAAATATGCTCTAGAAACAAAATCAGGACTGAAGGACGTCATCAGACATTAAAATAATAGGTAGATGAATGTGAAAGTGTTATAAAGGTATCTTGAACAGTTTCCGAGATGTGCTCTAGAATAATAATTATATACCAAAAAAGTCGAATGTGTAGTAAAAATTTAAAAATCACTCAACAGAGAAATTTGTCTCCATTGGAAACATAAAAATTAGTAAAACTTCAAAAATCATTTAACAGAGAAATTTGTTTTATTATTAAATCCGAGAAATTTCTAATTAGCTAAAGGCACAACTATCATCACAGGTTGATGTTTGTACAAAATTTCATGACATATCTTGAATGGTTTATGAGATATGCTCCAGAAACAAACTTGTAAACAAAAAAAAGTCAAATTTGTTTCCATAAATATCAATCTAAAAAAATTCCTAAAAAGCAAAACACACAACTATAATAAGTTGCACTGCTGGATGCATAGTTAGTAGGATTGATCTCTAAGCTTTTACTACCTGGGTTCTACGTTAGACTATCCTAAAATTACGCAGATTAACTTAATTGTGGTTACTATTCATGGAAACATACGAGTTGTCAGTAGTCGCTTAAACCCGTCAGTACTTGCACCGTACGTCAGTGTTCCTATAAATGGTCAGAAATAGTCATACGATGAGTATTTAAGTTAATTGGTTAGTATTTCTTACTTGTGTTGGTGTGTAAAAATAATGTGAGTAATTAAACAAAGGTGAGTTAATCTGAACATATCATTAGTCAGGCACTTGCGAGAGAAATTGGATAAAGCGTGACTAATTAACAAAACGTCAGTATTGGATGTAGCGCTCAATATCTGAGTCTAACCGCCAGTTATCTTTGACGGACAGAGACCATGTCAATATCCCTCCCTAACTTCTTTCGGCACCTTGGCAGTCAGTTGGCATTTGATATAAAAGAAGGCTGTAGCACTGCTGTCCGGGTAAAATTTCCCTCATAGCACACTGCATGGCATATGTGCATCTTAGTTAGCTCCCTGGCTACACACAAGCAAATTATAGAAATAAAAGTGAACCACATGTTAGTCCCGAAATGACCTAGTTTGTGTCGAGTGGATGATAAACCCCATTTCTCTCTCTCTATCTTAATTAGCCCAGTCAGTGCAGAAAAGCAGGATGTTAAACCCCATTTTATTTTTCAAAACTTGTTTAAATATAAGCATCTGTACTTTTAATGGAAGATGGAGTGAGAAAATGAAATGAAATGGGATTTAACGTCCTACTGTTCTGCTCTGAAATGGGGCTACTGAAGACAGGCATACGCCATACAGTGTGCTATGAGGGAAATTTTGCCCTGACAGCGGCACTACGGCTACTCTTATATCAAATTCCAACTGCCAAGGGATCTTTTACGTGCACGCCAATGTGTACACAGGACCTCGGTTTTTCGTCCCATCCGAACGACTAGACAGCTGTCCTTATCAGGCCCTCCGTCCTGCATCACTGACAAGGGGGAACCACGTCGGAAAATCTAGATGAACTTTCTCGGCCAATGCAGGGATCGAACACCCGACCTCCAGGCTAGCGAGCCAGCGTCTTACCCACTTAGCCACGTGATCCCCCATGGAGAAACAAACATCTTAACAGCCTAGACAACACTTGTATTGCAGCATGGCATGAAATAATCTGATTAAAACACAGATCCTATTTTGTTTCGTTTTTTATTGTTCAAAATTTTGTTTTAGTTGTTTTTACTACACTAGGATCTGAAAGAGTTGTTATATAACTCGTGTTCTGGATGATGTGAACGTTAAGCCAATGAATTGGTCTGTTACGGTCAGTTTTTGGTGTGAGGTGCACAGAAACATCAATGCTGATAGGTTAATCAAATGTCTGACGTCATAGAGTCATAAGCCGCTCGTATGACCTCTGACTAAAACTGGTCAGATCTTCATGTAGTAGAGGCCATCGAAAGGATAAAAAAAAAAATGGAACATAGATCTGTATTTTAATCAGATTGGGTGTGAAAAACATCTGAACAGCACAGACAGCACTTTTATTGAAAGAGAGAGAGAGAGATGGGGTTTAATGTCCACTCGACATAAACTAGGTCATTTCGGGACTAACATATGGTTTAATTTTATTTCAATAATTCGCTTGCGCATAGGGGTCTTTAGCAGTGGGAGTAAACCGGAGGACCCGGAGAAAACCCACGAGGTTGGACAGGCGCCCCTACTCCTTGTCACGTACAACCGGGGATTCGAAACCACGCCAGTCGACTCAATGACAGACTTTATGATACAGCGCGCGCACGCTAACCATTCAGCCATCCAACCCCCCACACTTTTATTGAAGCTAAGCATGGCGGGAAAAACATCTGAACAGCCTATAGACAACATTTGTATTGAAGCATGGCGTGAAAAACTATTCTAAACAAACATACCTCGATAAATTTATTCCTAAATGAGTAGAGTTTATCATCGTAATTAAAGGTGATAATTAAGTTTGACGTCGGTTGACTTAACGAGGTATTCTGTAAATTAACTGTTAGTTTAAATGTCGGACCAATTCCTTGAATCTGAAATAAGTACAAATAATTAAATAACATCTATAAAATGAAATAATTCAAAGCTGCGAGCCCAAGGTGTGAAATCCATGCACCTTTATGGAGTAAGGCAAAAGGAATTTTACCCAACCAATTCAGACGTAAAATAGGGAGGGAGAGAGAGAGAGAAAGAAATGGGTTTAACGTCCTCTCGACACAAACTATTAATTTCGGTAGTAACAAATGGACAGGCTACCCTACTCCTTGTCAAGTACAACCGGGGAATCAAAACCACGCCAGTTGGCTCAGTAACAGACCTAATGATACAATGCGCACACGCTAACCATTCAGCCATCCAAACGTCCCCAGTCGTAAAATAGGACAAAATCACAGCAATATGCAATATACCGAAATATTTAACAATACATTATTGCAAAAAAACTAAAGATGAAAAATATACTCATATTTTAGTTTGGACAGAACAAAATACCAAATAAGGAGAGAGAGAAATGGGGTTTAACGTCCACTCGACACAAACCAGGTCATTTCGGGACTAACATATGGTTTTATCTTATTTCAATAATTTGCTTGCGTGTAGGGGTCTTTAGCTGTGGGAGGAAACCGGAGGACCCAGAGAAAACCCATGAGGTTGGACAGGCGACCCTACTCCTTGTCACGTACCGGTACAACCGAGATTCGAAACCACGCCAGTTGACTCAATGACAGACTTTATGATACAGCACGCACGTGCTAACCATTCGGCCACCTAACCCCCTAATTTCGAAACCACGCCAGTTGACTCAATGACAGGCTTTATGATACAGCGCGCACATGCTAACCATTCGGCCATCCAACGCCCCCAAATAACAAATAAATGGACAAACACATCACTTTGACAATGGTGATATTTATACAAAAAAAGGGTACAACTTGTTCATTCATTATAAATGTAGCATATTAACCCATAGCAAGATGATCGCCATTTCTTGTGATGTGAATACCAACAAGCTTATACAAAACTCTACTTGATGTCACAATGACAATATTTATACACAAAGACCAAACTGACATTATATTAAGTAATTAAGCTGTATAATTTTACAAGGAAAGTATAACATAATTGTATAAAGGCTCATCTTGCTTTCAATCTGCTATAAATAAATTTCATCATGGACAGATTCCAGATGAATGGCTGTTTTATACTGAAAGTTGAAATTGGAATTTAGATAGAGAAAGTGAGGATTTAACATCCACTGAACATAAACTAGGTCATTTCTCAACTATCATAACGGACAATTGAATTTCAATAAATCGCTTGCAGGTATTGGTAGTGGTGGGAGGAAAGTAGGGGAAGCCCAAGAAGTTAGGCAGGTCCATCTCCTTGTCAGATACAGTTGCGGGATTGGAACCATGCCACTCGACTCAATGAAAGACCTTATGATCGGGGATGGGGGTGATGGACAAATGATTAGCATAAGGTCTGTCACTGAGTCAACTGCGTGGTTTCGATTCCACGGTTGTAGGTGACAAGGAGCAGGGTCCTCTGTCGAACCTCTGTGGGTTTTCTCCGGGATCTCAGGTTTCCTCCCACTGATAAAGGCCCCTACGCACAAGTGCATTATTGAAATAAAATTGAACCATATGTTAGTCCTGAAATGACCTAGTTTGTGTCGAGTGGACTGTAACCAGCTAGGTTCTTATTGTTGTAGACAGTTCATCCTACTGGTTTCTTCTTATTCCTAAATTATAACACTTGATTCAGCTAATTTTTGAACTTTATGTAGACACAGCAATGACAATGATAACAGACAAATTACAGAGGGGCATAATAACTACAGAATTATGTTCAACTAAAGAAGTATAAAATCAAGAGTTGACATAACTATAAGTGTAGCTAGTCTGTTAGCTGTATCTCCTACCTAACTTGTCCTTCTGGGTCCATCTTCATATTTATATATTTGAAGATGTAACCCCCAGCTATCTTATTACAACTAACATAAACACAACAATTTAGACATAGATTAAAATATTAAAAGAATACAAAGAAGATTAAAGACATAGAAAATAAGCTTAAAATATTAACTATATACAGAGAGAGAGAGAAATGGGGTTTAACGTCCACACGACACAAACTAGGTCATTTCGGGACCAACATATGGTTGAATTTTATTTCAATAATTAGCTTGCGCGTAGGGGTCTTTAGCAGTTGGAGGAAACTGGAGGACCCGGAGAAAACCCACGAGGTTGGACAGGCGACCCTACTCCTTGTCACGTACAACCGGGGATTCGAAACAACGCCAATTGACTCAATGACAGGCTTTATGATACAGAGTGCACGTTCTAACCATTTGGCCATCCCAACCCCCTTGAGATTGCAGTCCTGTGCCAGTAAATTATAACTCACCTGAGCTGACAACTTGAGTGGTTCAGTCGGATCCGATGAAATGGGGTTCATACTGTTGTCGAGGGCTTTAACATACTGCCGGGCCGTGTTTAATCGTAATAAATATAAATCTCTCTGGAATGTTCGATGCATAGCTGAAAGATAAATTTATAACCGCCATGAGTGTTTGCCAGGCAACTGTCATTAAATAACCGCCAACAAAAACGTCGTTGACACAACATGTAACTATCAATCAATTGAATGAATGAATGAATAGAGTGTAACGTTAAACTTTGGTCTCTAGGGCAGCCACAAGATTTTTCAAAGTGATCAAGGACCATAACTCTGGCAGTAATTAACGGAAATCGTTGAAAATCAATAGGTTTCATCTTCTCATGAACTTATAAAGTCAAACACATATTAACTTTAGCCTCTAGAGCGTCCACAAGATATTTCAAAGTGATCAAGGGCCATAACTCTGGCAGTAATTATCAGAATCCTCGTCTCATGAACTTAATTACTGTGTATAATTTTAAAGTTAATCGCATATTAACTTTAGCCTCTAGAGCTTCTACAAGATATTTCAAAGTGATCAAGGGCCATCGCTCTGGCAGTAATTATCAGAAATCATTGAAAATCAATTGGTTTCATATCCTCATGAACTTATAAACACTGTGTATAACTTTAAAGTCAATCGCATATTAACTTTAGCCTCTAGAGCGTCCACAAAATATTTCAAAGTGATCAAGGGCCATAACTCTGACAGTAATTATCGGAAATCTGGGAAAATCAATAGGCTTCTTCGTCTCATGACAGTAAACACTGGATATAAATTTAACTCAAGGGCCATAACTCTGGCAGTAATTAACTTTAGTCATTGAAAATTAATAGGATTCTTTGTCCCATGACCTTAAACACCGTTGGATAATAACTTCAGCCTCTAGTTGCTTGTGGCCGGCCGGCCGGAAGGGGGCAACGACAATATACTACCACATTTCAATGTGGGCGTATAAAAGGTCTCTTTCCTTCCCCATGTCTTGTGCTGTCGAAGGACCTGGCAAGTAAAAACCATGTTGGAGTAGGCTACTTGCTAAAGCTATACAGTTGGAACTTGAAGAAGAGTAGACAGAAACTACCCCCATAGCACACTGCATGGCACATACCTGTTCATAAGAAAAATGAAATAAAATGGAATGGGGTTTAACGTCCTACTGTTCTGCTCCAACTGGGCTAATGAAGATGGGAGTATGCCATACAGTTGGCTATAAGGGAAATTTTGCCCGGACAGCGTTACTATGGCCTCATCCTCGATTACCCAGTGTACTCATTCCGTTCTTCTCCACTATACCCTGGGTTAATCTATGGGGAAGACACGTTTTCAAGTTATCCGCCCTTGATGATTGTGCTATTTTTATCGACCAATCCCATAAATTGTTATTTGAAAAGGAAGATGGCAAAGGTCAGTAACTCTCATCTAACAATGTTAGGAGTTGGCCTATTCTAAATGCATAATTATTAACAACCAATTATATAGTATGCTAATGAAGACCAGACGTTCATATAATAATGCAGGGTCATTAGTTTTATTTAGAATCGTTCGTTCGTTCCCGGAATTTTAAGTCCACGTGATATCGTAGCCAAGTTATTAATGGGTCAAATTGCCAAGTATAAGTTCAATAATAATAAACATAACAGAATGACATATTTCAGACAAAGAACGAATAGTAATAATAATAATAAAAAGTCAAACATATAGATGTCATACATATTTGAAATCAACAACACATACTACAGATTTTGATAATACAATTAAATATAAATAAATTATTACTATATACATTATTTACATAAATCATTCAGTAAATGGACATGAATATGGATATCTACCCTTATAAAAACGAAGGCGAAACGATTGGTTTGTAAACTGAAATTGTCGAAACCCTATGGATTAACCCAGGGTATAGTAAAGTAGAACGGAATGAGTACACTGGGTAACCGAGGATGCTATGGCCTACTCTTATATCAAATTCCAACTCAACTGCCAAGGGATCTTTTACGAGCACGCCAATGTATACAAGGAACCTAAGTTTTTCATCATATCCGAAAGACTAGACAGCTGTCCTGTCTGTCCGGCACCACTGACATGGGGAAGCAACGTCGGAAAATCACGATGAACTTTCTCGGCCAATGCAGTGATCGAATACGCAACCTCCAGGCTAGTGAGCCAGCGTCTTCCCAACCTTGGTTCCCACATCAGAAGAAAAGATATCTGTTATCTCTACTTTACAGGGCACCATGATCTTATGTGCAAAAATGTTGTCAATTTGTCCTCTCTAATGGATTCTCGAGGCATCATAAAATTAATTTCCATTTATTTCAAGTAATTTCATGTTTTTTTAGACAGTGTGTATCATCGGCGAAAGAGAAATTAATTGAAATACCAGTGACCGCCTCCAGCGAAGACACAATACATAACCAACACAATAAAAAACAAATACCATTTTAAAGTCCAGTTACAGTTGAAGAAAATGAAGAAATTTTCTACTTGTTTATAATATTTTTTTTTCCCTTCAACAAATTTCATAAAAAAATTAAATAAAAAAAACACAACACAACAATCACTGGTTTATACATATATAGCACGACTTTTCATTTGATGTATTTTAATTATATATATATATATATATATACATAAAGTATTGTGATAGTTGTTTTTAATTTATAATCTCTGTGATATTTGTTTTTTTTATGTATATATAGATTACTATTGTGATCATTATTTAGTTTGTCTCGTATAACTCATCATATGTTTGGCACAATATAGCCCGGTTGGTGCTGACGTGTCATAAAACCACATTTCATTCATTCATTTCATTCTTATTATCAAAGTAAAAGTACACATCATTTGTACTTGATAACGATAAGAGAATACTTGTCGAAACGTTGTGCTATATGTGCATAAACCAGTGATTGTTTTCCATATAAATTGTGTTGTGTTTTTTTAATGTGCTCAATCGCTAAATGCCATTCAAGGATTATATTTTAATTAAATAAGCAAAAGTTCAAGGAGAGAGAGAGAAATGGGGTTTGATGTCCACTTGACACAAACTAGGCCATTTTGGGACTAACATGATTCAATTTTATTTAAATAAGAACGCCAGTTGACTCAATGACAACGCGCATGTGCTAACCATTCGGCCATCCCAACCCCCCTAACTGTAATGGATCAGAAAGTATAAATAAATGGTTGAGGTATGTGGTATTTTAATTCAGAACATTTTGGGTCATCTATGGGGAAACAGCTAGGGGCCTGTGACAAAAAGAGAGCCATGTTATATTCAAGGTCCACCCAAGAGAGAGAAATGTAGGGGCGAGCGCAGAGCGGGCCCCGGTGGGCATGATTTCTTTTTTTACTGATTTATCCAGAATTGACATCCTACAGAGAATCAAACAATGTACTCAGTTGAAGCCAGTCATTTGTTTCATTTAACAGTGCTGTTAAGAAGTTAATAAATTGAAACCATTTTTGTGTAGATCATTGTAAAATTGAAATATTTTTGACCCAATGTGCTCCGAATGTGGGGTACACCTGGTCAAACTGACACATTTGGCCATCAAGAAAGTTTTTTAAAAAAAAATGTATCGTAAACACATTGAAACTTAAAAGAACTGAATACAAAACTCTTAAACTGGGGAAAAAAATCCTTAACGTAAACAATTCCTATGACTTGTAAATCAATAAGGATTAGTTAGTTACCTTCAACCAATATTTCCTTAAAAAAAAAAAATCTCAAATATCCAGATTCTGTCTAAAATGGGCAGACGATTTTTAGCTGAACTAGAAATGCTTGTGCTCATTGTGCCCCTCTGAAATGTGACCCACTGTGCCCCGTCATCAACCACGACAGAAAATCAGAAATGACAGGGAGATATGTGATAGTATAATGAAACAAAATATATCTGATGAGAGTCAATTTTTTATCTCCTTCACCTGGAATTTCTAGTTTGTGGGTTCTAACTAATTCTGGAGTAGCTAAGCAGTTTAACCAGTCCACCAAAAATTTACTTTTGCATCAGAAAAATGTCAGCTTACAAGAATTTATTGAATTTAGGAGAACAAATAGAGTCTATAAAGGGGAATTCCCCAATGATATCACAATTGTATTTTCCAAAAACAGTTAAAAATTACAAAGCCTGGCTTACTGTGCCCTGTTCTTCCCTAGAGGTTAACAGAACATCTACACAAGTTTATATCTTAACATCAGAACGAAACCATAAAATACTAACCTATAAAAACATCACTAATCTTTTATATTAAAATACCTAAGACATCTAATAGTAATAAAACCAAAACTTATGTATAATTTTCCATATTGTATTTACAACTAGGGGTTTAATATGAAGGAAAATGTTTTATTAAGTCTTAGTAAGTGTTACTACAATAAATAGTTAATCGAGGTATTCATGAGTTGTTGAACCACCGTAAGATACAGCGATTAGAATTAAACATTACAATCATTTTATTTATTCAAAGTCGTAGACACAAAACAATAATTTTATTTATTCAAAGTAGTAGTCCAATTGGTTTGGTCCAGTATGGCACTGACTGATAACAAAACTTGAAAATGAAATTAAATAAAACAGGGTTTAACATCCTAGTGTTCTGCTCCGACTGGGCTAATGAAGACGGGCTTACACCATACAGTGTGCTATGAGAGAAATTTTGTCCGGGCAGAGCGTTACGGCCTACTCTTATATTGAATTCTAACTGTCAAGGGATCTTATACATTGCACGCCAATGTATACACAGGACCTCCGGTTTTTCGTCCATTCGAATGACTTGACAGCTGTCATTGTCAGGCCCTCCTTCCGCCACGACTGACACAGGGAAACTATGCCAGAAAATCTTGAGAAATTGTCTCTGCTAACACCGGGAACGAACTTAAGGCCAGTATTTGAATCGATGATCCAATAGGTCCCAGGTTTAGAGAGAGAGATAGAAATGGGGTTTAACGTCCACTTGACACAAACCAGGTCATTTTGGGACTAACATATGGTTAAATTTTATTTCAATAATTCGCTTGCAAACAGGGGTCTTTAGCAGTGGGAGGAAACCGGAGGACACGGAGAAAACCCGCAAGGTTGGACAGGCGAC